ACCTTTGGCTCGCGGGGGGGGGGGGGGGGTGGAGTGGAGAGGGAGATGCCAAAACTACACTAGCTTCTAACGTCACAGCATAAATGTTGCTTACGTTTAGGCAAAACAAGAAATGCTAATGTTTTTTCCCTAATGTCCATGCTTAGCTTTTTTTAATAAGCTCTGAACCATTTGCTGTGTAGATGGGAAGGACCCTCTCTACCACCAGCAGTTCTGTTGTCTGGAAATAAGAGGGGAATCTAGAGAAGATGCTATTCTCAAATAACATTTCTGCCCCCTCACAATGACTAACTGAGCAGATTTAGCATTCCAGCTAGACAGTGCCTGTAGTCCAAACTGAGAAAAAACAATTCTTTTCTGTGCAAAATACTGATCTAGAAGTTGACCTTTGGTGAGAAGACAGCCACCGTAATTGTCTTGTGTTTTCCCTTCAGAGGTTATCAGACTTCACAATAAACTATATGAGCCTTAGGCTGTCAAGCGAAAGAAATTGTATTTAGACCTAAGTTGCTCTGGCCATCCCTGTGCTCAGTCTATATCCGTTATGCGGTAGAGCACAGCTCAAACATGAAAAGAAAGCCAAGATCATCTTAGCCCCAGAGAACCTCAGAGTCAGAAGCAATACAGGTCATCCATATGAGTGAATTGTTGCATTCAAGGCAATAAATCCTGCTCAGAGGCAGGGCTTCCTAGTTTGTTGTGCTGGCAGAGCTGTACTGCTGTGGGGCCTGGACTGGAATTTATTGTCACATGGACATACAGATTTGACTTGACCACAACTGATCATTGTGCTGTACAGGCATGCCTTTGGAATAGTAATGTCCTCAAGTCTGATTTTATTGCTTGGGGTTTTGTACCTCCTCTTCTGTTTTTAATCACTTTCACAGGTGTTTATATCTTCATTGTGAGTTTCCACTGAGATACTTCCAACTAATTAGTTCTAAAAATTACAGTACAACTTTACTTACTGGTTAAATTTTCATTACTTGCTACTATTAGGGGGTTTCTTAACGCATTTATTGACCTCTTCAATAAAAATGAGACCGATTCTTCTGTCCTTTAATCAAATGCTTTCATAGAAAATAAAATCTTATCTGAACAAGAATTAGGCTGAATCTGATGCTTAGTATTTTTGTGCTTTTGGAAATTTTTCCTTTCCAGACATAAATAAGGCTACAAGATCACAAGAGACACCCTTTCAACTTAAAGTTCAGAGTCTGCTGGTGAATGCTGCAGGACAGCCAAGAAAAGAGAAAGTGAAATTACCATCATCCCTTCAGGGGAGAAAACCAAACTCCATACCAAATAAAAAGGTAAGATAACATATTTTTTGTTAATATTAATATCCTCTCAATCATCTCTTTTGTATAAATTCTTCACTCTGGAGCAATACTGGAAGATATTTTGAATATGTTTACTGAAACGCAGTGGTTGCAATTTATATATAAGTTTACTGGCAATTCTAAAAGGACCCTTCCTCTCAACTGCTAGGACAAACTCATGTGCCAAAAGCATAGTTCTGCACCAGGCACCCACATGAAAGCTCTGCTCTTCCAAAAGAGCAGAGCTTCCCCCATTCCCTCTGACACATCTCAGCGGCTTAATGTCTGAAAACTCAAACGAATATAAATTTTCGGACAATATTCAAAGTGCCTCTTCAGTTTTTACTCAAATTAGAATGTCTTTTTGTAATTCTTCAGGATGCGTGGACAGAGGTCAGATGTACGTTAAGTAACTCTGAACCTAACTTGATAGCCACCAACTTTCTCTACTGTCTAAAATTTTAATTCTCTTTGTAAAGATAGAAGATCCTGTCGCAGGAAAGGTCAACACATCTTCTCTTGCAACAACAAGACAGCATCTTAGTGGCTTCCATCTCATTCCACCCAGAGTGATGCTTGGAGTCCTAAAGGAAGGCTGCACCTATGCAGCCACTGTGATCCTGAAGAATGTTGGTGTGAACTTCTCAAGGTTAGTTTGAATTTTTAGTACCTTGGGTTTTAACTGTCCAAATATGCATTCCTTGTTAATTGTCAACCTTTTTATCTGATTAACATGAGATGACAAATGGTATTTTTATACTTGGAATGATTTGATAATGACTAACTGAATAGATAAGAGGAGATAATATTAGAAATACTTCAGCATTATTTGCATATTAGTGTTATTACGAAGATGGAAAGCAGCAAGGAGCAGCAGGTCCTGTATGCATAGTCCTGGCCCATCACAGATGATTTACTCCTTCTTATTAATGTTCTCAGGTTTAGAGAACAAAGTCTTTCATGGTACCCAGTATTACATTTGGCTTTGGGAAATGTTGCTGGATGCTGCAAGTCAGATGATCTAAATGGGTGCAGCTGTATTCAGGCAGACACATGGCTTCGGCTGCATTGAGAAGCAGCTCCAGTGATGACACTGGGAACAAACAGAGGATGAGGACATTTAAAGCATTTATTTGTGCATGTATTTCCCTTCCTCAGTGTCACCCCTGTCAGTGCGTGGGACAAAACAGCACTGCGCTGTGTTCCAATGGGGTGAGGATAAGTTAAGTCCATTTCTAGGTCTGCAGTCCAGCATGCAGGGCAAGAGACAATCATCACAGGAAATTATATTTACCCAGCTGCAGTTTAAAGAATATATAAATACAGTAAGAAAATGCTTGTGACTGCTTTTTTGTACTAGAATTCCCCTTCTGAGTGACTGCACATATGTTCATTCACTCACTGCTGCACCAGCAGTTCCAGTGGTTTTACTTTAATGGCATTCAGGCAGGTGTGCTTATGACCCCTGTCCTCCCAGGTGCCATACATGTGGCAGAAAAGAGGGCAAAGCATATTATTTCCACTCAGTTTGCTCAACTCCCCTTATCTGTGCTATAAGTACCTTGCTTTTTAGCTTAAAGGAGCAGCGATGGTCTCTTTTCCAACCTAAATGATTCTATGATGCTAAGTCCTTACAGCATCTGGGTTTCCACTTAAGGTTTGTCACTCCAAAATAGATTCATTTGAATGGTTATAACTCCACCAGATGAATTCAAGAATTGCAGTACTTGGTGGAAAGCTTTCATTTCAGATGGCTCAAAAGCCCCAAAGCCAAAACCAAGCTTTTTAAATTCCCGTGTTCTAAGATAGCTATTCCCACCAAAGTTTTCCAATGTCAGCCTCTCACTCCCACTTATCCTCAGTTACCTCCTGCAGCTGGAGAGGTTCTTAGTTTATTTCATAGAATCACAGAATCTTTGGGTTGAAAGGGACCTTTAAAGGTCATCTAGTCCAACCCCCTGCAATGAGCAGAGACATCCCCAACTAGATCAGGTTGCTCAGAGCCCCTTCTGACCTTGAATGTTTCCGGGGATGGGGTATCTACCACCTCTCTGGGCAGCCTGTGCCAGTGTTTCACCACCTTCATTGTGAAACATTTCTTCCTTATATCTAGTCAAAAATCTGCCGCCTTTGAATTTAAAACCATTACCCCTTGTCTTATTGCTATAGGCCCTGTGAAAAAGTCTGTCCCCATCTTTCTTATAGGCCCCCTTTAAGTACTGGAAGGCTGCAATAAGGTCTCCCTGGAGCCATCTATTCTCCAGGCAGAACAATTTAGCAGTTAACTGAAAGCTGCTATTTAGGGCAATCTATCTCATCCATCTGTCCCAAGAGACAATTATATACTGTTCTTTTGGAAACAGAGCAAGCCAGGCTTGGACCATTCCTATTATGGGCCTTTTTTCTGCTAGACCCACAGGTCCCAGGAGAGGGAAGCTAACTGGAAGCACGGAAATAAACATCCTACTGTCATGTTGGTCTAGGTCATTCAAAAGCTAGTTCCCTTTCTTAGAACTAGTGATAAGTAGTTTTTGAGTTTTCCTGCAACATTAGAACTGGTTAAGGAAAACAGTAATGAGGGCATTAAACATTCTTGGGCTTGTGTGCAAGTCTCATAGCCCTGATGTGCTGCAGCTTCTGGATGCTGTTTCTTTGGAGCACTCTTCACATGCCAAACTTCCCTTTTCTGGATGCAGGGGACCTACAGTTTGATACTCTCTTTTTGAAGAGAGTTGAAAGAAGTGTCAGAGTGACACTATCATCTCAGCAGTCACAGCATCCCTCTACTGTGGTACTACAGTGCTGGAATGAAATAAACATTTGTTGTTCCTCCTTCTCAGGTAGCTAATTATCATCAAAAGAGGTGCTCACAGGAGCCTTGCCCTGCTGGGATCATCATGATCTCTTGTGGGTACTCAGCCAACTAGGCACTTTAGAAATTTGTTCAAGACCAGCTGAGAGACCACTGTACAGCTTCTTCCATCAGGATGAATGGCAGAGGTTTTTGTTTTTAAATCAGCCTAGTTAGATATGGCCTCAAAGAGACATGTTTTCCTTTAATGCACATTTAAGCATCATGGAGCATGCCATGATAAATCAGGAGATCACATACCAACATCCTAGAGCTCAAGATGTGCACATTACAATTTTTTTTTTTTTCCTCATGCCAGGGCATTATATGTAGACAATCAAGGAAAATACCACTCTGATTCTGATAAATCCAGATTATCTTTTATCACTTTATTTGATACTTTGAGAGGAGAGCGAAGTGAACTAGCTGCTGAATGACAGCAGAACATGCTGAGTGCAGGGGTAGGGCTAATGGTAGGCAATTCTGAGCCATGTCTGCCTCATGCTGAAGCCAAAACTTTTCCATGACAGGGTCAGTAGTTAATTATGTGCCTTCCAAATTGTCCCTACCCTAGCCTGAACTTGTTGGGACATCCTGACAAAAATCAAATCCAGTCTCTCATAACAGCTAGCACTCCAGAGAAAATGGAAACAGGAATTCTGACAGCCAGTTCATAAGTCTGCCAGAACTTTCTATATGATGGAGCCATATACTAGGAATGCCTCTTCTATGGCCTTTCCTTTAACAACTTCTGGTCCAAGTGCATGCTGGGTAAATGTTCTTCAGGTGGAAATGAAAACCACAGGATAAAGTCCAGAGCCATGCAAAAGAGGTCATATCTGTTTTAATCATCTTGAGAGATCTTAACAGTGGAAGTTGCATGCACAAAAGGACTGCACAGATGTGAAACAATCAGCGAGAAATAAAGAAGTTAAACTACTGCCTTAGTGGGTAACATGAAATTAAAGAAGATTTACACAAAATTTATACCAGTATCATGCCTCCTCCAATAGAATCACTTCAAAGGGCATTAAAGAAAGATCTTTAAGGATTCTGGGTGTGCAACACACAGATGTTTGCCAAGAAGATATAACTTTGATTTCAGCTTCCTTTGTGTATGCAGGCTTAGAATGCTGATGTTTCACATTCGGTTGTAAGGACCAGGCAGTGTAACGAGCTCTTTGGACACTACTTTGGCCCATTAATCTGTTCCTTTGGGTTTTTTTGTTAGAAACCTGAGCTGAGCGAAAAGCCTAGGAATACCACTGTAGCCCAAGTTGTATGTTCTGACAGGAAGGATGAGCTAAAAAATTCTGCTGTCATTTGCACAGGCAGAGGAAGAGCAGATGGCCTGCTTCCCAGCAGTGCCTTCTACCTGCCAGCAACAGCTTCTGGCAAACTGATTCTCTTCTCTTTCTGACAGGTTTCGGGTGAAGCAGCCACCTCCGCACACAGGACTGAGAGTGATGTACACACCAGGACCTGTAGGTTATATGAAAGATCTTCTGTTTTTCACTAGAGTCAGGTGTCACTCGGGCGTCCCTCAGGCCATCTACGAGTCTTCTCGCACCAGCTGTCTGAGAATAGCACTGGCAGGGTACATGATTTGTTTAAAGTTATTTGAAGTGATGCTGCCTTCAACCAAGCACCCCATGCACTCTGAGTCTCAGAGCCTGCACCAGAATGCAGAGGGATAAACATGTTAAGTTCAGTAGAAAGCAGCAGGTCAAGCACTGAGGTTAAAGAGTTTTTTTGAAGCACATGGGATACTCTACCACTACCTCTGAGTTTTCCCATCATTTAGGGTATTTGTTTTATCTGCTTTGTCTTATGCCTGGACTTTATCTCCTGTCCTGATACATGCGCCAGGGGAGGTTTAGATTGGATATTAGGAAAAATTTCTTCACCGAGAGGGTGGTCAGGCATTGGAACAGGCTGCCCAGGGAGGTGGTGGAGTCGCCATCTCTGGAAGTGTTCAAAAAATGTGTGGATGTGGCACTTCAAGACATGGTTTAGGGGACACGGTGGCGCTGGATTAATGGTTGGACTTGATGATCTTGAAGGTCCTTTCCAACCTAGTGATTCTGTGATTCAAGAGTTAAACCTAGTAAGCTCTTGCCTCAACCCATCTCTTCTCCTGCTTCCAACTGTTCTCCACCTTAAGTCTTTTATCTAGCAAAGCACCATAGCACGTGAAATTGTCTCATTAAGTAGGAAACTAATTCTTTCTGCTTTTGTTCAGTCTCTCTCCACCTGCATGTTGTATCTGAATAAATATTGTGCTGGCCAGTATCCCCACAGCACCCAGGTAATACCAGGCAATATCCTTGCTAATGCTTTTACAGGCATGGAATCAAGAAGCAATGACTTGTGCAAGGAGGCAGTGCCAGAATGCAAGTTAAACCTCCTAGTCCAGAGTCCTAGCCACAACTCAGTACTTAAAAAGAGTCATAGTTTGGGGTGGAAGGGACCTTTAAAGGTCATCTAGTCTAACACCTCTGCAGTGAGCAGGGACATCTTCAACTACATCAGCTTTCTCAGAGCCCCGTCCAACCTGACCTTGACTGTTACCAGGGATGGGGCATCTACCATCTCGCTGGGCAACCTGTGCCTGTGAAACACACCACCCTCATTGTGAAACATTTCTTCCTTATACCTAGTCTAAATCTACCCTCTTTCTAGATTAAAACCATTACTCCTTGTCCTGTTGCAACAGGCCCTGCTAAAAAGTCTGTCCCCATCTTTCCTGTAAGCCCCCTTTAAGTACTGGAAGGCTGCAGTAAGGTCTCCCTGGAGCCTTCTCTTCCCAGGCGAAACAACCCCAACTCTCTCAGCCTGTCCTCATAGGAGAGGTGTTCCATCCCTCTGATCATTGTGGGGCCTTCCTCTAGCCCCACTCCAACAGGTCCAGGTCTCTCCTGTGCTGAGGGCTCCAGAGCTGGATGCAGATTCCAGGTGGGGTCTCACCAGAGCAGAGCACAGGGGCAGAATCACCTCCCTTGACCTGCTGGCCACGCTGCTTTGGATGCAGCCCAGGATACCGTTGGGCTTCTGGGCTGTGAGCACACATAGCTGGCTCATGTCCAGCTTTTCCTCCACCAGTACCCACAAGTCCTTCTCAGCAGGGCTACTCCCCATCCCCCAGCCTGTACTGATACTGGGGGTTGCCCCAACCCAGGTGTAGGACTCTGCACTTGGCCTTGTTGAACCTCATCAGGTTCCCACAGGCCCATTCCTTGAGCTTTTCCAGGTCCCTCTGGATGGCATCGCATCCCTCAGGTGTGTAAACCGCACCACTCAGTGTCATCTGTAAACTTGCTGAGGGTGCACTTGATGCCACTGTTTATGTCATTGATGAAGGCATTAAAGAGTACTCGTCCCAGTACAGACCCTTGAGGGACACCACTCGTCACTGATCTCCATATGGACATTGAGCCATTGACCACTACCCTCTGGATGCGACCATCCAACCAATGCCTCATCCACCCAACAGTCCACCCATCAAATCCATACCTCTCCAATGTAGAGAGAAGGATGTTGTGGGGGACCGTGTCAAAGGCCTTACAGAAGTCCAGATAGATGGCTGAAATAATTTCCATTCTCTTTTCCTCTCCACACATCCATCCCTTTTTTTATCTCCCTTTTCTCCCTACCTCTGTATTCTTTTTAGAATATTTCAGTTGCAAGGGACCTACAACAATCATCTCGTCCAACTGTCTGACAAATTCAGAGCAGAGCAGAAGTTAAAGCATGGTATTAAGGGCATTGCCCAAATGCCATTAATTATCTTAAACACTGACAGGCATGGGGCGTTGACCACCTCTCATTTTGCTTCTCTTTGCTGTTCCAATTTCCCTTTTCCCTCTGGAACCTAAAAGGAAGTTTAAGGGGAAAAATTGCAAACACTTGGCAGTTTTATTTCAAACTGCAATGTGAAAAGACACTGTACAGACCTTTCTAGTGAAACAGATACTGGGTAACTGGCAAGCACAATCATGTATGCTGGGCACTGTCTTTAATTTCATCAGGCAATGCAGAACAAGAACCAGCTCCAAGGACTGCTGGAGGGACTATGTATGAAACATGCACCTTATCTGTGAGTAATCCTCTCTCTCCTAGGTGGCAGCAGGCTTGCAGGTTGAACTGGAGATAGAGATTTTTGCCATGGTAATTGGAGGGAAAGACACTGATGGCCTTGAAGAAGTTTCCCATGATATTGAAATATTAACAGAAACAGAGACTCTTCTTCTGCCTGTGAGAGCAAATATCCTTTTTTGTCTTACTTCCCACACACACCTTCGGGCGTCAACCCTGGGGGCCATCCACCTGTCAGGGGCCTTAAGCATTGTTTCCAGTGCAGGCTGCTGAGATAGCAAGCTTTCCTGTCCTTTTCAGAAACACACAATTGGTGTTTTCAAATGCACAACAAATGAACAATTAAAGATTTTGATGCCAAAAGCAATTTGCATCAGAGTAACAAGGTTTTGAAAAGTCAGGAAAGGAAGAATGGTAAGCTCAGAAAGACGTGGCTTTTAAAAAAATAAATGAAAATAATAGCA